GTGTGTATTCAGATTACTGTATTTTTATTTATAAGCCAATAAAAGGCTTTGGATGGACTACTGTTCAGGTGACAGTTTCCTACAGCCATGTCCCCATGTTCTGCCAAAAAAAGTCCAACCAAGGGGATCAAATCAAACCAGGGAATATCACTCACAGCTGCACCTCCCATGATACTCTTGAGGCAGGGCTGTGTCCCATTCTGGAAGTGATGTCACTTCCAATAAGCACTCTAGGAACGCCCCAGACCTCTATGGTAAAAACCTAGCACAGGGTGTCGAACTCATTTGTTATGAGGGCCGTGTCTGACATAAATGAGACCTTGTTGGGCTGGGCCACGTGTGCCATAAAATGTAATGCCAGGTAGCGGAGATATAAACTCAACACAAACACAAAGATGTTCCCTTACATCTACCCTGCACCCTCCCCTCCCCCATGTGAAAATCTGAATGCTAAAAATCTGTATGTCAAATATGCCATCTTGTTACTTGTGCTGAATGTTTTAATATGGAATTTTGTAGTTTTAACTGGTTTTAAAATTGTATTGGATTTTATGTTGTTGTAAACCGCCCTGAGCCCCGCGTAAGTGGGGGAGGGCGGTTAAGAAATCGAAATAAAGAATAAATAAATAAATAAATAAATTTAACTTAAAATAAAAACATGCTTAAAACATTAGCTCTGTAAGCTGCAAACCTACTTTTGATTTATTTACATTCCCCACAGAAATCTCATGCTCAGAGTTCTGAGTCTATGACCCAGGTTAAAACATGAAATGGCTGAGTGATTAAGAGAGTCTGGTAAAGCAAGCTACGATGCTGCAGCAGCAGCAGCAGCAGGAGATGGTCAGTTCCACTGTGGGCCTGATGGAAGCCCCCGGGCCACATGTTTGACACCCCGGACCTAGAGCATCACTCAGTCATTTCTGGAGTGTAGAAGTGCAATCACTTCTGGGATCAGAGGCCATATCCTACCCCCTTTTCTCCTGCCACATCTGGCAGGTGATCACAGCGGTGGTCTAATGTCCACCAGCAGGGGTCCTTTCCTGCAGGAGCGCACAGGAGCAGAGCTCCGGCAGTAAAGAGCCCAGGGGGCGGGCACACGCAACAAGCCCTGCCCCCTGCTCCCAG